CCCCCCCCACTTAAATCCGTCTATGTCTGTACATTGGCTTTTAATGAAAAAAACAAACCTGTGAATGAAAAAAGTGCGAGCGTTTTGGTTTTCCAAGTATTCGTACCTCAGCTGATATACTTCGATGGGCAACTTTCTGGCCTCAGAAATCTCTCATCCCGGACACCACAGCACAATTCTAACTTGCCTCTCAACGAATTCGCGGAAAACAGAAATAAAACGCCAACAACAACCCCGCCGACCACTGACCACTGTTGATGAAACCCCATCATCGCTCGGTTCATTCGCGACCGGCAACTACTAAAATTCGGCTCGGCAACCACTAAACCCCGGCCCGAATATCCGGCCGGTCCCGGTATTGATTTGCGATAATTGTTTGCTGAGTTGCGATAACTGCGGGATGGCGGTAGAGAGATAATGGCGGGAGAAGAGGCAGGAGAGAGGAGAGAGAAGCGCAAAGTAGTGATTTAAATGTCTGAGGTACATCTTATGCAGGTAACTAGCCAATCCAGAACGTGTAAGTGCGACCTGCTAACTGATACAGGTGAGGGCATGTTACCTGTAATCTGATGTTTTCGTGGTCGTAAGGAAGAAACGGGAGAACTTAATGGACCGGAACATTTCTTACCTAATTTAATACTTCTTTTTCACGTCCCTCCCTTTTTTGTCTTTCCTATCATCCTTTCTTATATTTTCTAACAGCATTCATACATTTTTCTTTTAACCTTAAATAAAAAAAAGAACGGGTGAGGTTTGCTGTACACATCGTGGACGTTCAGTTACTCGCGCTAAAGTAACAGTGCTTCTGGTTGAATGCTAACTAGATTGGGAAAATTTTGTTTGGAGGTGGGAAAAAGCACAATGCTTTCGGTTGAATGATAATTAGATTGGGAAAAACCTTGTTTGGAGATGGAAAATGGAAAGGGGAGGGGGATTATACTGAACGGAGTCCCCTTTATAGGTTTTTTATGCCGAGCATTAAAATTAGTGATGAAGGGAAATTAGCAATCTTGAACGCGACACTAAGAAGCTTATTTAGAACGGCTATATGGAATTATGTAGATATGAGGAATTAATAAAAAGAGAAAAAATGAAGAAGCTCCTAGCTGCAACGGTGACGAGAAGAAATGCGACGATGAAACAACAGTTAATTAAATTATAAAAGTAACTTATGTTGTTCGGTTGAGCTTGGGTACACAAAAAAAGTGAAACAAAAAACACAGCCAAATCTCTTTCATCCTTCATGAAGTAATTATGAGGTGGTGAGGCCGAACACTTAGTTCTGGAAAGGAGTAATAAGTAAATATCCAAATTAGTACAAAACAAATAATTCTTCTTTACTGCAGTCTGTAACACAAATTGAACGGCATCAGTGGGATAAAGGTGAGATATCTTCTCCGGATTTACAAGCTCTGGATGAGGCGCCATCAATCCAAGGCGATTACGATCCGCATGGTCAGCTCCAGCCATTCTGGTACGATTTCTTGAGGAAACCAGCATTGCGAGACCTCATTTTATGTGAAAAATGGAGCCGACCAGATTACCTGCATTGATAACCCTGTGTGTTGTTATTGCATGACCGACACAAAACGAACATTAAAAAATGTCGTAAACTGACACAAAACGAACATAAAATATCGTAACAGCCTCTTTTACGATGTTTTTCTCATCTTCACTTTTTTTGAGAATTCATTAAGAGCAAATAATATTCAAAACCAAGAATACCAAAACCATCCCGACAATGGCAATTACCATAACTCAATTCGGCCGGATTAAGAGACGTATTTTAACATAAGCGGGTTTCAATAAATTTTAAAATCCCTTTAAAATCTGTCACACTGACGAGATCCATTATGCAATGGCAGGAAATGTGTACCTAATTTATCGACCAAAACATTTCTTTCCAATTTACAAACTTTTTATAGCTATGCAATGCAAAAGCGCATGTTGACGAGGGGTTGTCTGTATGTCCGTGTGTCTGTGTGTCTGTATGTGCATCTGTCCTGATTTTTCATCTCAAGACCTATAAAAGCTGCAGGGCTGAAACTTTGGGAACTTAAACTACATGCACTTACGGGTTCCAATCCCCAAAATGGGCACCATTACCCGCGTGGTACCCGTACGGGCCCGCCAAAATTTTTTTCGGGTAAGTCGCTAACTCGGAAATCTGAGAAGTTAGAAGACTGGAATTTTTGAAGGGATGTTTCCTGTCAGTCCTGGCGGCCAGTCTGAAATTCTTTTAGCTAGAAGCATTTGATGAAAAAAACAGTGCTGTTAGCGATGCAAAAAACGCACCTTCGCACGAGCAACCCGTGCGTTGGCCAATTTTTTAAATTTTGTAATACGTTGTACATCTATCCACAGCACGTGCTTTATTTTTCTTCTAATTTAACCATTTGCAATGACTATGTTGTGCCTCCCTTGGATGATGAATTAGGGTGAAAGTGGGTGGAGGGAGGAAGATTGGTGCAAATAAAAGCTTACTAGCTTTTCTTAGCATCTTGTTTCTTGTTTTGCACTATAAACCCATATATTCCTCTCCTAATAGGCACTTCTGTTTTCAGGGGGTCGTCATAGAGGCAGGAAAATTGAATTATTTGCTGGAAATGAATTAAGACCTTGTTTCGAGGTAAGAACCGGAAATAGAAGCAACGATTAGGAGCGGGTGGGGAGGAGGAGGGGGTTAATGGGCTTATGGTGCTAAGCAAGAAAACAGATGTTGAGAAAAAGCTAGTAAGCTTTTGTTTGCATTCCAAAATTTCACGGGGCGAAAAAATCAGGTCATCGGAAGGGAAATCTTCATTTAGTCCCCACTGTGAATATTTTTTCTTTAAACTGAAAAGGCTAGGCTTTTAGTTTTTGAAACAGCTATACCAGGAACAGCTTTAATCAACAGTACATTTCTCCAACTATGCAGTGAACAGCTTTACAGTTGCTTCGAGCAATGTTGCATCAGTTTACGGCCAGCCTTCTGATGATCCCACCGTTCGTTTCGTCTCCTGAAGGGATTATCAGTTCCAACAGAAGTGCTTAGCAAGGCTTTAGCCGTTACGAGATGTCCCTGTCGTAGGTATTAAGTATCGCCATTTTATCTCGAACGTTGCCATTTCTTCATTATGATGAGGCACTTTACCGCCTAGGAACTCAAGGCACACTTAATGGACCGAAACTTCTCACCTCAAAAATTTTGATCTTTTAGCCCCTGTTTTTTTCTTGTCCTTAACTTCTCTTTTCTTTTTCCTTTTTTTTTTCAAATTTAACATCCTGCACGTAACCAAGTAAATAACTAATTACTGCCTGAAGTTGATTTAGTAGATTCTGCCTGTTTTCTTCCCTCACTTTTTCCATCTTTTCTATGCTTCTACAGTAATCGACAGTTGACGCATAGAGGCTTGCAAAAGCATCGAGTTTCCACGCAAAGACATAAGTTCCAAGAAGACAACTGGCTCTTCAGGAAGTCGAAAGCAAACATTTTACTTCTTTCTAGACACTAGTGACCAGAATCGCATAAGGGGATCAGGAGTATTAGGAACTTAGTTCCAATGAGAGACTTAGTTTAGATGAGAGACAGAGGTGCCTGAAATAAATTGACGATGCCTTAATGTTTTGTAGAAAGAGCATTTCTAGACTATCTTGAATCGTTCAACAGCGGTTGAATGCACTGACCCGCGGAGAGATAGAAGCATCTGAAATGAATCAAAAGGATGGACAGAAGAGTTCCTGGATGGGCAAGTATCTCAGTGTTATTTTATCAAAAACCGAAAAGTGAACTGACATGGGGCGAGCGAGTGTTTCAAAGGTGTGCAGTGAGGCAACGACGAGAAATGAGTGAAAGCCTCCGAGGCAATGTTTCGCTGCAAAATTGGTCAAACAGTGAGCCGAAGCAAACGGCACGAACAGACGCAATAAATCATTCAGGATTCGAAAAAGCTCATAGGAAAGCGAGGAAAGTTTCCTCCGAAAATTGTGCCATTTAGTTGCCTGTTGTTCGAGCAGCTGCCTGGAAACGGTCCGTGCAAAAATTGTGTGGTAAGAAACTACAAGACTGATAAATGGAATTTAAGTGAAGTGCAGAAAGAAGGGGACATATATAAATGGAGAAAGAAATGAGGATAAGATTGTTAATAACACCGAGGTGTGTGTGTGAACATTGATTTTAAGCTGTTTGAATGGCACACGGCTAGGAACATCCCTGTGAAATTTCAGCTTCCTAGATTCTGCAGTTGCTCAGCTGAATGTGAATGTCAAAAATTCGAAAAGACAAACACACACGAACAACTTTTCGATGATATTCGTTTTTATGCGTCCCATTTGATTTCCTTCAAATTTGCATTTTCTCAATGAACGAACATTCGCTGGAAAAACGGCCGAGCTTCATGCACGAAACTGATAATCACGCGAACTGGAGGTCCATGCGGCCCCATAATGCAACACTGCCGGTCCAACCCGTGTGCACGAAAACGCTACAACACAGCCAACAACATGTCCACGTGTTAAACTGTAATGCAGGAACCAATCATGCATTTAACGATCTGAGTGCTGCAAGTCTAGGCGCAAAAACGTGTTGTCGCACTGGCAAACCTGGTGCGTTCCAGCCTGGGTTGCATTTACACAAAAGACGCGAAAACACGTAATGAAATTTGGGAAAGTTATGGTGAGTAAAAGATATTTTAGCTAGGAACTAAGATCCTGAATATTTTGGGAATGAAAAAAAGTGAAATCAGGGGCAACATAAAATGAGGAAACCACAAACATATGGATAACATGTGTTAGAGGATTTGATGGTATGACAGATTGGTATGGGGGAGTCTACAAGTGGGGCCAAATTATTCCAAGCACGCAACGAAAATAGAACTGCTACCTTTTCCGTCAGCCGGATTTGTTCTTGGGCAATGCACTGAGTCATCATGCGCACCTTCAAGGAACGTAGAAAATGAAATACACGCAAAATTTCAGACTTGGTAAACAACACACAAATACGTACACAAACAAACACACACACAAACAAAATAGATTCTCACACATGTACACGCATGCAAATAAACAAACGCACACAAACACACACACATACATACGTACATACATACAAACACATACATACATACAAATACAAACATACGGACAAATTCACATACATCTTCACAAATAAAGCACGCTAACACAGATATATACATACATACACATTTCTTCACAAGCCAACACGGAAACGCAAATATGGCCTCACCAACAAACACGTAAATATAGGCACATCCCGCAAACAAACACTCACAAAAATAGGCATACAGATACATATACAAAAATAGGCACAGACACGAGCAAACAAACAAATAAATACGTACACAAACACAAGCAAACACACATGCACACACTTACGTACACACTGACACATAAGTATGCACAGAAATAAATACAAGGTTCCGCTTTTACATTACAATCTTTTTACCCTCTTCAACTACTGAAAAACAAAAAGCTACTCTAATTTATAATTAAAAAATTCTATTTCCTATCTTCTTCCTCTTCTTTTTTCTTTCTTCCTCCTTCACTCTCCATTCTCTTCCTTTTCTTCACTGAATGCCACGACCGTCCTACTGACGAGGTTCAGTCGTGGTGTTGAGCTAAGACGCATATGACTTAATGGACCGAAACATCTTGCCTCATTCGTTCTTCCTTTCATTTTTATGCATTTTTGCCGTGCAGCGCTAGAGTGCTGCGACAGGCAGCAAAAACGCATATTGCAACGACCCTGTCAGTGTGTGTGTGTGTGTTTGTCAGTCCAGGTGTTTCAACTCGCCAACCACGCAAACTCTGAAGCTGAAATTTTGCCAGTGTGTTTCTCAGTCAAGTGCCACCCCAGGACCGCGGTATCAACTCTCGCGCACGTCTGGGCCCCACGTACGAGCGCATGAAAGTTCTGGCGTGAAAATTGCTAACTCGGGAACGAGAAAGCTAGAAAGCTGAAATCTTGGGGGAATGTTCCCTAACCGCCTACGATAAAAAGATTTCAAATTCAGCTGCCCAGGAGTACACGGGGCTTACGTACGAGCAAAATTATGGGGGAATTCATAACTCGAGGATGAGAAAAGCTAGAAAGTTGAAACTTTGGGGGAATATTCCTTATTCATGCACAACCAAAAGTTTTCAAACTCAGCTTCTTGGGACCACCCATGGCTCACGTACGGACACGTGAAAATTTTTGGCGCGAAAATTACTAGCCTGGGAACGGGAAAAGCTAGAAATCTGAAACTTTAAGGGAATGTCCCCTACTCATGTACGAGCAAAATCAGGTGTTTAGAAGCGCCCGAG